CTGGAAAATCCCATGGACGTAGGAGCCTGGTAGGCTGAGGTCCATGGGGTCGCTAAGAGTCGGACACGACCAAGCGACTTCACTTTCGCTTTTCACTTTCACACGTTGGAGAAGGAAATGGCAACCCACTCCAGTGTTCTTGCCTGGAGAATTCCAGGGACGGGGGAGCCTGGTGGGCTGCCGTCTATGGGATCACACAGAGTCGGACACGACTGACGTGACTTAGCAGCAACTTCTCTGATGATTTGCTTTTGCCAACTTCATATAGTCAAATTCCTTCTCTAATAATAGGGCTAAATGGACTAAAATTAACTTAGCCTTGTACTTTTGATATTTGCAAAAGCCACTCCCACTTATCATACTTCCATTTCCAAATATATAAAATGTTATTCTGATCCCTTTATTCTTCAAAATTAACATGGAATTATTTTGGTGAGTTTCTCCAAAAATATAATAAGAGACTTTCTTTGGAATTGTTTTAATCATGTAAACTTTTAAGAAATTCTGTCATCCAAATAGCCTTATCATGCAGGACATGTTATGTAACATAGTGCTATTGTACATTTCTTGGTAAGTGTGATAACAATATTTATATTAATAATTATTATGTTTTCTTAGTGGTTATAGAGAATATAAAGACTTGATCTTTACTTGTTACTTTCCTATTTAACCACTGCATTGTATCAATAATCTACTTATTATTTTGATTCATAATTTGAGAGTGTTTGTATATAATCATATTGCCTGGAAATAATTATGCTTTCATCTTCTTCATATCAAGTGTATATTATTTATTTCTACCCTATCCAGAGCTTCCAAAATAACATTGTAATATTAATATAAAGGTGACAATAGAAGTTATTTCTCATTTTGTTTTGCTGTGATTTCTCCTGTTATTTCTTGATTACACTTTACAGAGATATTTGTCATCTCTGCAAATAGATTACTTTTTGTTTTACTTATTAATCCTACCCTCTTTCTATTTCATCGATTTCCACTTTTACCCAATTCATGTTCTATTTCCCTGCCATGAATGACTACTTACATATTTATTTTCTTTTTTATTTGGTAATGAAGAGTTTAGTTTTAAAAATCAACCTTTTCTGATATGTCTGACAGCCTTAGTTGTGTCCTTGTTTTTATGATTTTCTAAAGAATCTGAAATGCTATTTCATGGTATACTCAATACTTGTGAGTGCTTTTATTTTATTTGTAATATCTAAGTAATTATACTTTCTAAGTATTATAGAAAAAAGTATAATTACTTAGATATTACAAAACTGATACTTTCAATGTGATACTGGAAGACTCTTGAGAGTCCCTTGGACAGCAAGGAGAGCAAACCAGTTAATCCTAAAGGAAATCAAAGCTGAATATTCACTGGAAGGACTGGTGCTGAAGCTGAAGCTCTAATACTTTGGCCACCTGATGCAAAGAGCCAACTTGCTGGAAAAGACCCGGATGCTGGGAAACATTGAGGGCAGGAGGAGAAGGGGGTGACCATTGATGAAATGGTTGGATGGCATCACTGACTCAATGGACATGAATTTGAGCAAACTCAGGGAGATAGCGAAGAATAGGGAAACTTGACATGCTGCGGTTCACGGAGTTGCAAAGAGTCAAACATGACTTTGTGACTGAACAACAAGTATTATAAATTTTGAATTTTAGAAAATGATCAGCAAATAATTTTTGCTTTGAGGTGTTTATAAAGCCAAATGCATGTTAGCTTTGGAAATGTCCCATGGAAAACTTGAAAGTAAATAGTCCCAGTGCTGTGAACTTGATCTTTATATTTAAGTCCTACTATCCCAGATGGCACTAGTGGTAAAGAATCTGCTGGCCAATGCAGGAGACGCAAGAGACAGGAGGTTTGATCCCTGGGTCTGGAATACTCCCTGGAGTAGGAAATGGCACTCCACTCCAGTATTCTTGCCTAGAAAATTCCATGGCCAGGGGAGCCTGGTGGGCCACAGTCCATAGGGTCTCAAAGAGTCGGACACGACTGAGTGACTGAGCATCCACTATCATTGTGATAGGTTGAGTGATGGCTCCTGAAGACAGTTAGGTCTTTTATATGACAAAAGAGATTCTGCAGGTGTGATTAAGAATCTTGAGATGGGGAGATTATCCTGAAGTATCTAGGTATGCCTTAAATGTAATCACAGTTTCGTTATAAAAGGAGGCAGGAAAGGAACCAAAACAGAAGAGGGGGGCAATGTGGTAACTGAAGCACGATGCTGTGATGCTGGCTTTGAGGCTGGAGGAAGGGGCCACAGCCAGGGGAAGCAGCTTCAGAACTGGAAGAGGTAAGGAAACAGATGGAAACTGATTCCAGACTCTGGCAGCCAGAACTATGAAAGAGTAAATATGTGCCATTTTAAAACACCAAGTTTGTGGAAATTTCTTACAGCAGCCATGGGCAATTAATAGAATCAAATAACTAATTTCCTTTTCATTGATCTATCATGTGATGGTTATCAATCATTCTCCCCATTGACTCTATTTTGATGATTTCCTCTTAACTTCTGAAGTATTAATTTACAAATGTCAATTGTGTTTATCGGTGCATGACAGCTAATGACTGTTTTCAGAATCGTTACTTTTCATAATCAAACATGACTCATATTGCAATCCTAAGGCTTCTTGAGCATGGGTGCTAATTCGCTTCAGTTGTATCCAACTCTTTGTGACCCCATGGACTGTAGCCTGTGAGGCTCTTCTGTCCATGGGTTTCTCCATGCAAGGATACTGGAGTGGGTTGCCATGCCCTCCTCCAGGGGATCTTCCTGATCCAGGGATCAAACTTGCACCTCTTATATCTCCGGCACTGGCAGGCGAGTTCTTTACTACTAACCCCAGCTGGGCAGCCCAAGGCTTCTTGTTTGATGTCTATGTTTTTAAAAAATTTTTAATTGAAGTATAGTTGACTTACAGTATCACAGTAGTTTCAAGTATACAACACGGTGATTCAATATTTTTATAGTTACTAATGATCACTACTATGTCTAGTTACCACCTGTCACTATACAGCTATTATATTATTGGCTATATTCTCTGTATTACACATTATATCCCTGTGACTTATTTTTTAACTTAATCTCCCTCCCGATTTCATTCCTCCCCCCACAGCCCTCCCCTCTGGCAACCACTTGCTTGTTCTCTGTGCCTATGAGTCTGTTTCTGTCTTGTTATATTTGCTAATGCGTCTTGTTTTTTTAGATTCCAGATATAAGTGAGGTCATACAGTATTTGTCTTTCTTGGTCTGACTCAGTTAACTTAGCATAATGCCCTCCAGATCCATCTGTGTTGTCAAAAATGGCAAGATATCTTTCTTTGTTTATAACTGAGTAGTATTCTATTGTGGAGAAGGCAATGGCACCCCACTCCAGTACTCTTGCCTGGAGAATCCCATGGACGGAGGAGCCTGGGAGGCTGCATTCCATGGGGTCGCGAAGAGTCAGACGTGACTGAGCGACTTCACTTTCACTTTTCACTTTCACGCATTGGAGAAGGAAATGGCAACCCACTCCAGTGTTCTTGCCTGGAGAATCCGGGGGACGGGGGAGCCTGGTGGGCTGCCGGCTATGGGGTCGCACAGAGTCGGACACGACTGAAGCGATGCAGCAGCAGCAGTATTCTACTGTGTGTGTGTGGTGTATATAGGTATATATATACCACATCTTCTTTATCCATTCATCTATTGATGAGACAGGTTCTGCTCATCTTGGCTACTGTAACCAATGCTGCAATGACGATAGGTGTGACTACGTGTCTTCAGACTGCTGTGTTTATTTTCTTGATGCTGAAATTGTCATCCTTCCTTTCTGCTATACGAGCTAGCCTCACCCTGCCTTGTCCTTTATGTATGTGGCTTCCCTGGCGGCTCAGATGGTAAAGAATCTGCCTGCAATGCAGGAGACCCGGTTAGATCCCTGGGTCAGGAAGATCTCCTAAAGAAGGGAATGCTACCCACTCCAGTATTCTTGCCTGGAGAATTCCATGGACAGAGGAGCCTGATGGGCTACAGTCCATGGGCTTGCAAACAGTTGAACACGACTGAGTGACTTTCACTTTTCACGCAGGTGTGTATTGGCAGCTCCATGGGGCATGTGGAGTCTTAGTTTCATGACCAGGGATCAAATCTGTGCCCCCTGCAGTGGAAGCATTGTCTAAACCACTGGACCACCAGGGAAGTCCCTGTCCTTTATTTTAAATTGCAAAAGCACTCTCCTTCATGTCTATCTCTTACATCATGTGGTTGATTTTTGCTTCCTGTCACAAGACTGTTTTCTTTGATGCAGTAGAGTTAAAACTTTCAGCATTTATTACTGTAATGAAAATGTCTCCTACCTTGCTTTGTCATGACTTCTGCTTTATCACAGCTTCTTTTTCATTTTGTTATGTATACTCTGGGTTTTTTTTTTTTTATTATACCAGTAGATACTTCTAATTATTTTTCAAATATTTATTTAAATGTATAATCCCCTAATTATCTAGTCAACAGTGAGGCAATTACCTTCATCTCTCCCTCTTACATAAGACAAAATTTATTACCCTTGATCTTTTCCTATGCTCTCAATTATTTCCTAGCCTTTGCTAAATTAATTCTGCATTATCAACTTAGACTGATATTATATTGCCACTGCTAATCCTAGTCATTCAAATTAAAAACTGTTTGGATTTTTTTCTCTTTTGTGGAAATCTTGAATAACTCATTTTTCATTCAACAAATATCTGCTGAGGACCTCCTCAGTGCCAGGCACTGAGTGAAGAGCAGTGACAAAGCACAGTCAGGGTCCACAGAGGATGCGCTGGTCTTCAGGGGCGGCGGTGCCGGGCGGTCACTGTGTTCCGTGTCTCGCAGCTCTCAGCCTGCCCTGTACTCCGGTCACTGGAACCCCCTGCTCTCTGGCCCCACACACTTGAGCTTGCCCTTCACTGGGATCTCTGTTCATTCTTCCAGCTCTTCTTCAGTCTAAGCCTTCCTCATTCACAGGCTCAAGTCAGACGTCACCTTTCTCCAAGAAAAGCTATCCGGTGACCCTGGGCCAGACCCAGACTTGGGTCTTACGGGTCCCTCACCGAGACACCATGCCGCCACGCCCCCTGCCGTCACGCCCCCTGCTGCCACGCCCCCGGGCCACCACGCCCCTGCTGCCACGCCCCCGGGCTGCCACGCCCCCGGGACGCCACGCCCCCTGCCGCCACGCCCCTGCCGCCACGCCCCCGGCCACGTCACGTGCCCTCCTGCTAGGTGTTTGCCTGTTTCTCTCTGTCCCTCTGGGCACTGGGCGCTATAGGGGCATAAACCACTTGGGTTTCATTCAAAGTTTTACTTATTATTGCAATACCTGAAATCTTATAGCCATTCATTACATGTTTATTAACAGAGAAAATGAAGTGTGAGTTTAGAAAATTTGTCAAGCAACCTAAATGTCCGTCAACAGATGAATGGATAAAGATGTGGTACATGTAAGCAACAGAATGTTACCCTGCCATAGAAAGAATGAGATAATGCCATTTGCAGCAACGTAGATGGATTTAGAGATTATCATAGTAAGTGAAATAAGTCAGATAAAGACAAATACCATATGATATCACTTTTATGTGGAATCTTGAAGAAAAAAATATATAAATGAACTTATTTCTGAAACATAAAGAGACTCACAGATACAGAAAACAAACATGATTACCAAAGGGGGACGTGGGAGGAGGGATAAATTAGGCTGGGATTAACATACACACGCTACTATGTATAAAAGAGATAGCCAACAAGAACGTACTGCAAAGCACAGGAAACTGTACTCAATATTATGTAATAACTTATAAGGGAAAAGAATCTGAAAAAGAATATATATATATGTATATTCATATATATATGCACACTCATATATATATGCATAATTGAATCATAGTGCTGTATACTTGAAACAAATGATATTGTAAGCCAACTATACTTCAATAAAAAATTAAAAATAGTAAAAATTAAAAAATAATCATTGACATTGACCATTTTTATGTTGCTTGGAATATACCTTTAACTAATTATTTCAGGAAGAAAGTGTGAGCAGTAGTTTTAATCCCCAGGAATGGATTGCAAAGAGATCCAACCAGTCCATCCTAAAGGAAATCAGTCCTGAATATTCATTGGAGGGACTGATGCTGAAGCTGAAACTCCAATACTTTGGCCACCTGATGTGAAGAATTGACTCATTGGAAAAGACCCTGATTCTGGGAAAGATTGAAGGCAGAAGAAGGGGCTGACAGAGAATGAGATGGTTGGATGGCATCACTGACTTGATGGACATGAGTTTGAGTAAACNGCTCAAGAGTCTTCTCCAACACCGCAGTTCAAATGCATCAATTCTTCAGCGCTCAGCTTTCTTTATAATCCAACTCTCACATCCGTACATTCTGTAGTGTGGACTCAAGCAAAGAGCACCTAGAGGTCCAAGTCTTCCTATCTTCTCCAGGACCCAGCAGGCTGTTCTCATAAAGAAGGTGGACCAGGTGTAGTCCTTCCCATTCTTTCTCATTCAAACCCAATTCTGTAAAATTGACAACTAATAATCATGCCAAACTCCAGATCCAATGGGGGCTCTCATTTTCAGAATTTAAGTGTCGTTTATTTTCAAGATATCATAATGGGAAGTGGAAATGAACTTCTCAGGCCTGGTCAGGTAGCTCTACCTGAACAATGAAATCTGTGTCCTGATTTATCTATTTTTAATTGGAGGATAATTGCTTTCAATGCTGTGTTAGTGTCTGCAGTACAACAATGTGAATCAGCTGTAAGTTTATGTATGTCCCCTCCCTCTTTAGCCTCCCTCCTATCCCCCACCCCCATTCCAGCCCTCAAGATCATCAGGTAGCACTGCGCTGAGCTCCTTGTGCTTTGCAGCATGTTCCCATTGACTGTTTTACACGTGGTTGTGCGTCTATGTCAATGCTACCGTCTCAGTTTCTCCCACCCTCTCCTTCCCCCGCTGTGTCCACAAGTCCCTTCTCTTCCTTTGCATCTCTGTTCCTGTTCTGCAGATGTTAGGTTCATCAGTACCATCTGGGCTCCCCTGGTGGCTCAGGTGGTAAAGAATCTGCCTGCAACACAGGAGACCCAGGTTCGATCCTTGGGTCAGGAAGATCATTCAGGAAGATCACCTGGAGGAGGAAATGGCAACCCACTCGAGTATCCTTGCCTGGAGAATCCCATGGACAGAGGAGCCTAGCAGGCCACTGTCCATGGGGTTGCAAAGAGTCAGACATGACTGAGGGACTAACACTTTCAGTACCATTTTTCTAGATTCCATATATATGAGTTAATATATCATATTTGGTTTTTTCTTTCTGACTTACTTTACTCTGCAGACAGAATCTATGTGCATTCACATCACTGCAAATGACCCAATTTTGTTCCTTTTTGTGGCTGAGTAATACTCCATTGTATATATGTACCACACATTTGTCCATTCATCCATCAATGGTCTGTGTCCTTGCTTATAGGAAAGGAAGAAGAAGCTGGAGAGGGTCCATCAAATTGCTTGGCTATGGCAGCATCAGAGGGGGACTTGACCCCTCCTGACTTAGCCCAGCACTGACTCAGAGAACCTCACACGTGTCTTTCTGCCACCTTGTGCCCCCTCCACCGTGGTCTCCCTGCCTGTTTACATTGGTGTTTCTCTTGTTCCATCTGTCTTATCTCATGGCTTCAGTGGTCCAGAATTAGGAGAGATTTCAGACCAGATGTGGTTAGTGTTTGTTCTCTGGGACTGAACTCACACACCTAGGACCCTGGCAGGCCCCGAGGGTGGGAGCAGGTGTGCTGTGCCACTGGGCTCCCTCTGGGCAGAATGTGGGGGGAGGGAAGCCCCTAGGTCACAGGGGCTGAGTGACCAAGGGCATCATGGGGCCACTTAAGCCTCCTTTAGGCTCAATGCTCTTTCCAGATGATCAGAGGGCCCCGGGGGCTGAGGCTATGCCCGGGATCCGTGAGAGCCTTGGGTGGGTGAAGGGAAAGAGAAGCATTCACAGCACTGTCCACAGGGAAAGGGGTGTGACCTGTCCCCTGGCCGCAGTGGAAGGAGTAACTACCCTGTGGATGCTGGATGCTCCCGTGTGTCCACAGTTCACAAAGCACAGGACCCCCACGGGTTGTTATCAGGAAGAAGTGAAGACACGACCACAACCCCCACTTAGGAGTCTCTGGGTTGATACGAAAGGTTAACCTGTATCCATCCATGCACGCATGCATTGGAGAAGGACATGGCAACCCACTCCAGTATTCTTGCCTGGAGAATCCCAGGGACGGAGGAGCCTGGTGGGCTGCCATCTATGGGGTTGCGCACAGAGTTGGACACGACTGAAGCGACTTAGCAGCAGCAGCAGCAACCTGTATCCCCCACATCTTGGCATCCGGGCAGCAGGAGGGCATCACCTCTCCACGCCACTACAAAGCCAGCGCACAGCCTTGCAGCCACGCCAAACAGCTCAGCCATTCGCCACAGCGCAGACTCTGGCAGGTGATCAGCCCGTCTCAGTTCCTGCTTCTGGGCAGTCCAGATGATACATCATGGGATTACCGGAGGGTTAAGTCAGACAGCCACATAAGGCACCTGACACAGGAAGTGCCCCTGAACAGGGAGCAGCTCCCGGCCCCTCTCTGGGCCACCCAGGCCGAGCCCCGCCGACCCCAGAACACAACAAAGGCCCGAATGACTTGCAGGAGATCAAAAGAGGTCAGCCGCAGCTAAGCTGCCATCTCTAAACCTTTTGAACAGGAAACCTGGGCCGAGAGGACGTTTGAATTGGCTCGCCACAAGAAACAATATTTGCTCGAGGTTAGCTCCTGCATTATGAATTTTTAACCTCACATAAATCAAACTGTAGAAATGGACAAAGGCGGAATTTCCTGTGCCAGGACCAAAATAGAAGCCGCCTCTGTCTCTTAAACAATTCCGATTATGTTTCCATAACCAAATCCTGCTGAGATGAATAGCTGGAATATTTATATTTAGGTCTTAAAGTTTAAGGTAAAATAAAGGGGAATGGTCTATCTCCTTAGCACTGAAGTCATGCTCCAGTTGCAGAAACAATGCGATGACCAGTCTGTGCAAAGGGCACTCTGCAGTGGGGGCCACGGTTTTACTTCTCCATGGTCTTTGATTTTTCCCAAAGCTGTTGACACCAGGTCCCCATCACTCAATGATTGATAGCAAGCCCTCCCCCCAGGGAATCAGTCCTTAGCAAGGTTTAAAGTGGATCCCTTTGTGAAAGCTTTAAACTGAGAAATATAGGCAGTTTGAAAGATCCATGAGACAGAATCTTTTAACTGCAGAGGACAAGATTGTAACAAAATAATGCTTTCATTAAGCTGACAAATGTATCTTTAGCAACTCTTATGAGTTACAAATTTCAGAGAATATAAAAACAGCAAATATAAAAACAATCAAGAGATTTTTCTTCTTTTAATCTGGTGGAAAAGCAAGATATGAAAGCCTCTGATTTTCCAGAAGGCAGAAAGAAGCATGAGTTGAAGAGCATTACCAGCAAATGTTACCGACTTTTAGAAGCAAGAAAGACGTCACCGTGAGAGGTGGAGTTGGAGCTGACCTTTAGAGGACAATAAAGATTTTCATAGGAAAAATGGAGCTGCAGAGGCCGAAGACATTGTGGCTGGGCTGACGCGAAACTGCCCGGAGGGTGTGAGGTGAAAGTCCGTGATAAGAGCTGGAAAAATAGATTGGAGGCCAGGACGGAAGCAGCTTAGGTTTCCAGGCTCAAGTTAGAGCCTCATAGGAAATTGGAGGCTTTTAAATGCATTTAACAAGAGGGTTGATATGATGTCAGCAGTGTGAAGATTCATTCATTCGTTCCTTTACTTAACAAATAATCACTGAGATCCTCAATGAGGGATAAAGTGGTGGAAACGAACCTTACAGCACCCTGGCCTCCTGGACCTGATAGTCTCCAGGGTGACAAGCTTTAACAAGTAAACCCCTAAGTTCACGTATAACTAAAGGCAGAAGTGATCCATGGGTGAGAAGGTTCAGGATAGAGTCCAAGGATGGCAGGGGGCCTTGACTTATCTTGGGGGGTGGGGGGCTGAGCCTGCGGCGGGGGTAGCTGAGTACAGCACAGAACTCCTTCCTGACACTTCCCCACCCCTGATGGTCTCTAATCTTCCTCCAGGACCTCTGAGCAGCCGAAGCTGCCCAGAAACCAGAAGGCAGGTGACCCTGGGCAGGAGATCGCTGTGACCCCAAGCACCACGGAATCTTTGAGCCCAGGCCGATGATGCACCATA